CCATGCCCCTGCCGACTGACTCCATTCTCAGTGACGATGATAATCTATTTTCGGAGCTGGCTTTTCTAGAGGCAGCAACCCTGATGACCAATGCCACTACACCCACGAGCTCCAGCTCGGAGGCCAGGGGAGCCGAGGAGGAGCAGGAGGAGAGAGATGTGCTGGAGGAGGAGACTGGGCCAGTTGGCTCTTCCAGTGACCCAGCCGCATGGGAGATCAACAGGGATCCTGACCTTGATGCTACCATCCGCTTGGCCCTTGAGCTCCAGCAGCGGGAATATCTTGGAGAGTCGAGCTCCAGTTCGAGCTCATCGGAGGCAAGTTATAAATAAATATTTACCCCAAATAAATAGGCAAATTGTCGTCTATTGCTGGTGCTTCATAAAACAGGTGGAAAAATATTTGGTAGGACTGTCTTTAGAGGTCCTATTTGCCTTTGACTTGTGATAATAACCTACTTTTACATTTTTCAGTAGCCCGACTTTCAATTTTTTCATTAAATTCTGCCAACATAACGTCAGATTTCCCTTTCTTCGTTAAAATCCGCCAATATAAGGTCCAATTCCCATTAATAGGCATCAATTGCCTGAGCAACAGGAGTTTATGTTGATGGAGTTGATTCTATCGAGCTCATTAAACTATAAGTGACTTTGATTTATATTCTTTGATCACTTTTAACACAATTAAATATGCATTTACACCCCTTAACAAAGAATTAAATGTGTAAACACCAATTCCGTAAAACAGTTGGGCGACCCTACAAGACACTTTTGCCAAATATTTTATCTGAACTAGGAAGCTAAAGTGAGGGCGTCAGTTTTCGCTTACAATTTGGTAGACCTTCCAGAAGATTTGGTTTAAGGGTAATTCCTCTTCTACAGGTACGATTTAATCAAAGAAGACTGTTCTGCGGAGGTGTGAAACTTAAACAGCCAAAAAACTTGTGACTCAGGACGGGCTTGAACCGTTGACTCTTCCCCCTTGGCATCGTTAGCTGGTACACGCCCTGCCAATACGAGGTACGGGGGGAGGGGGGCACACGTTCTCTGACCGCGCGAGTTTCGCATTCTGGCAGTGTGCTTTAATACACATCGTTGCTAGCCAATAAGCTGTTGAGCTTATGTGGGTAAAAGTCAACAACTTTATTCATACCTTCAAGACAATGAGTAGTTATATTGGTCGCATAAAAGGCGAGGCAATTTTATAAAAGTCTGGCTTGGAGGGTGTTGGGACGCCGTGCGTCGCCAAATTGTTATGACCCGCCTTGGTACTTCTAATCAGCACGAACCGGTACGCTAAGAGCCCGTAAGAGAGACAGTGAGAAGACCAGTCTGCCAGACAAAGAGTCTACTCAGACAAGAGCACGGTACAGCGCGTCCTGCAGGCCAGCGCAAGTTC